GCAGGAATCTGCTTTTGCGCAAAAACTTGCCAGCAGTCTACACTGGCTGCTTGAATTTGTGCAAGAGCACTGACTTTGTAACGTACAAAATCAGTGCTTTTTGCGCAAATACTTTCACGCTCCCGCTCGTGAAAAAGCCCTCTTGCGTAAGAATACTTGCACAAAAGGGCCAGTGTAGACAGGGAAGAACTGTTTTGTGCAAAAACACCCCAATGGCTAAAATGGCGATCGGGGCTTTCTTCCGCAATATCGCATCTAGACTAGCCATGGATGCTTTTGCGTAAAAGCACTTTTTGCTCAAAAGCATCTGTGCCAATCTAGATGCTCTTTTGCGGAAATACTTTAAATGGGAAATCTTTTCCGTTAAAAGTATTTCCGCAAAACCATGCCAGTGTAGACACAGCCTCCGAGAGCAGCTCCGTCTCCCTCCCTGTAAAGTTTTGTTACCATAAATGTTCTCAACCCGTAATCCTGTGAGCTTGAAATTCCAGCATCTCACCTGCAAGCTCTTTTTTGGCTCACCTGTCCTAAAAAGGCCACGAGGTGACTCCAAATCTTTTCCGTTAAAAGTATTTCCGCAAAACCATGCCAGTGTAGACACAGCCTCCGAGAGCAGCTCCGTCTCCCTCCCTGTAAAGTTTTGTTACCATAAATGTTCTCAACCCGTAATCCTGTGAGCTTGAAATTCCAGCATCTCACCTGCAAGCTCTTTTTTGGCTCACCTGTCCTAAAAAGGCCACGAGGTGACTCCAGATAAAGTCACTGGAGGCTCACAGCCAGTGTAAATCAGGGCATTGATTTAAGTCTCCATGTGTGCATTGAGGATGAACTCCTGCCTTTGATCTTCATGGGACTAGATTCACTCTTCTTGTGCTGCTTTCACTCCTGGCTGTGAAAATCCTGGCTTCAGGTCTTCCTATGAAGCAATTGTCATTAGGTGTGTCCCACCTAAGGCTAGTCTGCTAATGTACGTAAAGAGCATGCTGAAACCTTCAGTGTATGTGGGGTTCTGAGACTGCGTATGAAATATGGGGATTTCAAAACACTGTGGCTTTGACTTTGCTCTCAGAGAAGTTGGTGTCAATCTACTGTGACCCAGTGTGGACAAGAATGTGAGACCAGAGCCTGGCCAATGTGTGTCCCATTCATGTTGTGAAATCTCTCATACCATAGAGACCCGCTGTGAAGGTTTTGGCTGCACTTCTAAACAGGGCAGTGAATTTTCTGAATTGAAAAACTTGAATGAACCACAGAAAGAGCCACTCTGCCCCAAGAAAGAAGCCACTGGGACACACCTAAGGACAAAGTGACAGATGAGAAATTGATATAAAAAATCCAAATATTTGTCTCAACTATTTCCAATGCATTTGTAGTTACAAATTTACCAAGGAATTCCCTTTTGAGTTCCTGACAATACTGAACATTTCATGTTGCTGTGCTGATGAACCCTGACCCAGACGTTTCTTGACTAGACCCTGAATCCCCTTCCTAAACCCTCAGCAGGGATCTGACTGCAGAAAGAGACAACTCACCGTAAACCTGCTCCGTAGAGAGGGGAAATATTCTTCCTGCGACAGGAAGGCAGAGCCCTGAGATTCAGCATGTGACTCTTATAGAACTGACACTCGCCGTGCGGGACAAACACCTTTATGGTGCCCCTGAACAGTCCCTGTTGAATGTAGGCTTGTCCAGGACGACCAGCCAATTCCCTTGCCTGCATCAGCAGGGAAAGGACAGAAATTAGACTCTGGAGAACAACAGCTTGAGAGCCTCCCCGGGATTAAAAAAGTAATTTGCCAATACCAGGAGCTTAGCCCGTTGGGGCAAAGTGAGTCTTTTACACGGTTCATACCAGGAATTAGAAGGTGGCTTTTGTCTCTGAGTGCAATGTCCTGGCCATCTGCACCATGGGTGGGGATTTTCAATTGCCCATGGCAGATGGCACCTGCATACTGCCCACGCTGTTGTAAGAGACAATTTATTAGCCTCTGAAATTGACTGACACTCTGTGCAGGCCAAATGATGTGATCCTGAGTAGAGGGAAGCTGGAGGGCGGGGGGCAGACGTTCTTCTCAGATTTAAGCCACTTTGTTATGTGCATGGTACGCCAGGGTCCATTCAGAAGTGGAAATAGATCTGGCAGCTCAGAGCTGATCTGAGAGTTCACTCCCCCTCAGCATCAGGAAAGTTGGGAACTCAGTTGAGGGATGTTTGCAAGTGGCAGTGATGAGGCTTGTCCAGGCAAGAACACTAAAGGAAAGGTCCCCGAGATGGCCCTGGACACGCAATCACAAAGAACGGATTAATTTCAGCAGCCCTGCCCACCTGGCTATGAACTGCCCCCCACAGTCTCAAGTACTGCCCACTTGTTCATGCACTCCCTGTCCCCTGGACCTCTGACCCTCACTGCACCCCGCCTGTGCATATACACCCCAATCCCTGCCCCATAGGTGTTAGTATTGCACAACTGAATGTCTATATCTGCTCCTTTCCCTTCTGCACTCAGCAGTGGCAACTTCTCCATGGAAGTCCTTCACCCCCACTGCGTCTAGCCCTGCCACATTATAACACTCTCACTCCCGTGCCGGAGCTCATCACAAAACGTCACAGAAATGTCTCCTCAGAGGAGCTTACGCCCAGTTTCTCCATGTAACAGGAAAAGGGGGTGGGGATTGGGCTGAGCTGTATTTCTGGGGGTGAAGGGAAGCCCAGCAGCAGCTCAGCCTGAGGAGACAGGGCTGTGGAGATGAAAAAGATCAATTCTGAGTAACCCTTCCTCAAAGTGCTATAAAACTTTAATGCATCACAGCTCGTTAAAACCTGGACACCCCTTCCTGGGACTGTCTCTCTGCCTTGCCCATTTCTGATGTTGCCATGAGGCAGGGGCATGACTGCTCCCAGAGGGGTGGGAGATGGGGAATCTAGTTGAGTTTGGGACCTGTTACATTACAGTCTGAGGCACAGCCCTGCCCCAGGAGGCCTGATTACACCTCTTTGGTCTGAGAATCGGGCATGATGACCCTTTTGTATTCCTCCCTGTTTCAGAACTCTATGATCTAGATACATGTGTGCACGCGCGCACACACACACACACACACACAACACGCACACAGAGCGTTTCTGGACCTCTCCCAGTACGAGTCACAACACAGGCCTGTTCCCTCTTAGCCAGAAACAGGCTGTTGTTTGTAATGCCTTTGGGTAGTTCTCGTCCTCTCCAGACTGAGAATGGATGTTTTCTGTCATATTAGCCCTGTTCTTTCCAGATTCTGTGAGCTGGGCCTGGTTCTTGTCCAGAGCTTAACTTTGCTTTAGAGCTGCAAACTTTTGATTATTTTAGCCCATGTTTCAGGCCTCAGGACTTGTGTGACGTAGTGGGGGTACCTGGCTGGTTTCTATGCTGCTGGCTCTGGGGTAACCCCCACTGGCTGCTGTGGGTACTACGACCCAGCAAAACAGGATGAGTCACTATGCAAAGGGATCTCTCAACCAGTATGGCCAGACACCCCCCATGGAGAGGAACAAAGGAAGGTGGATGCTGCCCTGGCTGGGGGGCAGGGCTGGAAGAGGGTTAGTCAGTTGCTGGCTGAGAGCATGGAGGAGACAGCCTAGGGAAAGGGGCTGGAGTTTAGGGGCCCAGTCTCCCCCATCTCAAGGGGGCCTGAGGCATCCTAG